AGTGGCCAAAGTTCCCAGGCTCCGGGCCATGGAAGCCGAGGGGAGGGGCAGGGAAGGCCAGTGGGGGAGGGGAGGGGAAGGGGCTGGGTGTCCCGGCTGCCGCAGGGTAGCCCCAGCCCTGGGAAAAGACTCAGATGGCCAGGACATGGCCTGGGGATGTGGTGGCTCCTCAGCCCTCAGCCAGGGCTGCATGTGCGCATGTGTGTCCACTCACACATGCGGGCTGCTCCTGTGTCTACACACACACACACAGAACTCATCCTGCTCCACTCTCTACCTTTCTCTCCCACCACCCCACCAGCAGAGGGGAACAGCCCCCAAAAGCTGACAAGCCAGCTGAGTTCCGCTTGGCCCCTCAAGCTCCCTGCCTCCCAGGCCTGGCCACTGTTGCTGTGACTGTCTCTGCTTGAGAGATCAATTCTAGGACAGTCCCAGTGTCAAAATGTCATCACTTATGTCAACACTCTGAGTCGACGTAAGTCTCAAGGTGAGCAAAGAGTTCAGTTAGGGACATATGTGGGCCCAGAGTATTAAAGGGACATCTAGTGTCCACTTAAGAACTTGGCTGGCAGCAAAGCGCTTGCTTGCTTGAGCTCCTGGTGACCATGCAGGACGCAGCTGTTAGTCCATAAAATTCAGAGCGCATGACACTTAGACTCAGGTAGTGTGACTAGGTCCGTCAGACCACACAGCCACAGAGGTGCTCAAGTTTGCAGACAGTAACAGAATGAGCAGCGCTATTGATCCTCTGCACAGGGCCTGGCAGCTGGGCTGCTGCTGGTGGAGCCTCCCCCTACCCTCAGATTAGCACTCAGCAAAACGCCCAACCTTAAGACAAGAATTCCTGACAGCTCCCCCTTGGTGTTGTGCCAATGTTCTCCTGGTTGATTAGATACTAACTTAGCTGACTGGATAGTTTTTCATGCCAGTCTGAGTTTCAGAGCCCTGCCAGCCCACCAGGGCTGCTCCTCTCTTCCGTTTGCAGTGGTGTGGGACAGTCTGCCTGCTGAGTAACCTCCTGAGCTCCTAAGGGTGCCTCCCACTGAGTTTGGTCAGAATTGTCAGCTTGCAACAGTTCTGCTTTGGTGCCAGTTGTGACGAGTGCCCAGGGGGACACATGTGGAGAGCACTTAGGGTGGCTGGCCCAGCCCGGAAACCCCTACTGCACCCCCTCTGTTCTCATGGTAGACGCATGGGACTGCTGGGGTCCATGCAGTGGGTGTGGATGACACAAAAGTGTGAAGAGAACAGCTCCCCTGTTTGGCAAGGCCTGGCAAATATCTCTCCAACCAGCTTGACACAGTCTCGCCCCTTTTGCAAGGACGCTCAGCCACCCCACTAGGAATTCTGTAATCTATTGAGGCATCACTGTTTGCCCCTGTGAGATGGCTTTTGCAACCAATGTGAGCTTGGGAGTTAATGTCACTGATAATGTCTTGGTAAGTGGGCCTTTCACAGTTTACACACAGGAGCACAATTAAGTCCATGCCATTTCTGAACACCTTATTGTGTGCCTACCCATTGCCCTGGAATCTGGCCCAGACATGTAGCACACCTTCTGGGAAAGGGCTTGATAAATATCCTAAATATTAGTGAAAGTGATGGGAGTGTGAGCTGAAACTGCAATGGCAATTAATACAGTTACTGTGACCTTAAAGGCTAGCCTGTCTTTGCAATTTCTTTGAAGCATAGGAAATGTAGCTGTTTTAGCCACTTTTATAATTTTTGGCTACAGAAATTAAAGGATGCTTTTATTAAATAAATATGCTTTTAATTATTGTTTGATTGTTTAGCGGGTTGTAGAACCTATAGTCGTAGGAGGGTTTAATATTTGAAACTTTTGTCTTGGATTTTTATGTTTTTTCCTTGTGACAGATTTTCTCCCATTAAATGACGGGCAAGTTGTGGGAATAGAAGTGTGGTAGGAATGTATTACTGACTAGCAGGTAATCGCATGTGCCTTGGCCTTGGAGTCCTGGCTGCGGCGCCATGGCTGCTACTGAAGAATGAACAATGGCTTGCTTTGAAGAACATGAATACACTATTTTGCAGAATTATCTTTAGGGGCACCTGCTTAACCCTTAAATACAGACAGAATGATCAAATATCTGTGCATGCCCCCTATGTCTTGAAGTAAAAATAGAACAATTAGTTGTTTATGTAGAAGCTTGTGATGTGGCTGGGTAAGCAAGAAAGGACAGCTTCTTGAGCTGTTACGAGAGGGCACCAAGTGACAGTGTCCGTGTCTTTCCTCATCGCCTACTCCATGCACCCTTCCCGAGCTCTGAATCTGGTTGGAGCTGGCCTTCGGCAGTGCCCCCGTGGTGAGGCTGGCCATGCAGAGCACCCACGGTGTTGGAAGTGGGACAGCCTGGTGGCCTAGGCCCCAAGTCGTGTCCTTCTCATATCTCATCTCCCCTGGGCTGGGCTGGATGACTGCAGGATGACCTTGGCTCACTGTCTCCATCTGATAGCCTCTACTTTTGTGGGCAGCAGGACAACATGGGAAAGCCCTGAGGTGACCAGTCTTCCCAAGGACATGGGTGTGGAAGGACATGGGTGTGGAAGGACCCTGGATGCAGGGGCCTACTTGGCCCCACCCTGAGGGGGCCTCAGGTCTTGAGACAGGAGTGCACAAAGTGGCTGTCCTCAAGGGGTGGGGCCTTTGCCATACTTGGCCACTAGGGGACACGCAGGTGCCTGGAGGACATGGATGCCCTCTAGCGGTGCTTCTGGTGATCTGCATATGCCACCCTGGGGCTCCCCGGCCTGTCCTCTGGCACCCCTACCTCCCCCACAGGGCCTTTGAGGCTGCCAGCTGTTGCTCAGTGCCTGTGCGTTGCCCAGTGAGCGAGGGAGGCAGCCTTGGTCTCCTGGGGGAACCCTGTGCCACACACAGCTTTCCACACCCACCTGCTGCAGGCACACAGGCTCACTGGTACACGTGGATGCTACTCACATCACTCTCCATATGCAAACGTGTACATGTGTGAGCCATGCTCACATGCATGTGTGTGACTCACACGTCCCTGACCTCTGGGGAACCTCCGTCTCAGGGGTGGTGCCCTCATGGACCCCCACAGTTACAGCGGCTGAACCCAGCACTGCCAAGGGTCAAGCATGGAGGTCGGCGGGGTCTCTGGGCGGCTTTGAGGGAAGCGTTAAGTCATCGTGTAATGAATCCAGATTCATCTGGTTTTTCTCCTGGCCCCTCCTGTGTGTGCGGCGCTCTCGGTCTTCCATAAACCTCTCCTACTCCAGCTAATAATGCCTTCTTCCACTAACCTAGGTTGTTCTGGGGCCAGTGTGATGGCTCAACTGGCTAACCCTCCACCTGAAAGTGTGAGTATACAATACGGGCCCTGGTTCAAGTCCCAGCTGCTCCACTTCCCATCCAGCTCCCTGCTTGTGGCCTTGGAAAGCACTGGAGGACAGCTCAAAGCTGTGGGACCCTGCGCCCAGGTGGGAGACCTAAAGAGGCTCCTGGTTTCAGATCAGCTCAGTTCTGGTTGTTGTGGCTGTTTGAGGAGTGAACCAGTGGATGAAAGAGCTTTCTCTGTCTCTCCTTCTCTCTGTAGATTTCTTCTTTCCAATAAAATTAAACAGTTTTTTAAAAAATTGTTTTGAGTTGGGGAGGGAACTGATCGTATCCCGACTCCAAACCAGTCGGGCCAGGAACCTGCACAGCTCCCCATCTGCTGGCCCCCATGTGTACCCACACACTTTTGGGGAACTCCTGTCTCAGCTGACTGAGCCCCTGCCAGTAGTTGGGACCCGCCCACAAGACAGTCTATTGGCTGTTTCACTGCTTGGTCACCTTTCACATTTCAGGTGGGGACTCAGCCCAGGCTTCCCCCAGGGAAGCCAGGCACCCAGTGGAGCGGCTGTGTTCGCAGGACACGGGGCCAGCAGCAGAGTCCAGCACTGGCCCTCACAGGGGGCTCTGAGCTGTGACTGGCAACATTTTGTTCGGTGTGATGACAAGTTCCTTCTGTTCCTGGTTGGCCAAATCTGGTCCCCAATGCTGAACAGAGGCTGGATTTTTAATTTCTATTTTTTGCATCTGTTAAGCCGCAGGTGTTCTGTTGGTCAAACAGCTAATTGTAGACCTCCTTCTAGTTTCTTTAAAAATACTTATTTTTATTAGAAAGGCAGATTTACAGAGGAGGAAAGACAGAAAGGAGATTTTCCATCTGCTGGTTCACTCTCCAAATGGCTGCAATGGGCAGAGCCGGGCAGCTCGAAGCCAAGAGCCAGGAGCCTCTTCCCACGTGGGTGCCGGGGCCTGAGGCCTTGGTCCATCCTCCGCTGCTTTCTTGGGCTCCTCAGTGGGGAGCTGGGTGGGAAGCGGAGCAGCTGCACTCTGCTCTTCTGCTGGGCTCTGCTGCGCTGCTCACTTCCCTCGGGACACATGTGTTTATCACGCGCGGGTCTCGCTGGGCGAGTGGCATTGTGGCCGTTGGTTTTTCTGACACAGTGCCAGGTTGGGGACCGCTCTTCATCTGTAAGGTTGCCCCACCTCCCCACACCAAGAGGATCCGTGCAGGTGCTGGGCCACGCACAGATGAACTTTGGCATGACTGCTAATCACCAGCCCAAGTACTTGGCTTTTGTTTTGTTTAATTAAAAAAAAATGCTAAAGAAATTCCCAACTTGCCCTGTTTTCGGGTGTTGGCAGACGTTCTCAAATGGCAGTTCGCACTGCTGTGCTGGCCCCAGGGTTTCTGTTGGCGTGCACCATCAGCCCCGTGGGTCATGCCCCATTCTGTTGAGCTAATTCCTTCTTCAGGCTTTCCAGGAGGGATGCCAGCCTTACTTCAGTTTTAAAAAAGATTTATTGGTTTGAAAGACAGAGTTTGTACAGATAGCGATCCGCCGACTGGTTCACTCCCCACATGGTCCCAAAGGCCAGAGTAGACAGGTTGGAAGTCTCCCACGTGGCTGAGGGACCCAAGGACCTGGGTCACCCTCTGCTGCGGTCCAGGTGCATTAACAAGGAGCGGGATCAGAAGTGGAGCAGCCGGGACTCATCTCCCCCACCCCCAACTTTGATGGGACACAGGACAGCCCAGTGCTGGCCCAAGCCGTTGCTGGTCCTAACCCAGCTCTGCCCAGCAGGAACAGCCCTCCCTTGCTGTCCCTGATTCTTGTGCCGAGTGACCCACCCCACCAGGCAGGCGGGGCCGTGCCTCCTGCCACGCCCTACGCTTGCCCCATGGTGCGCTTGGGCTCTGGAGGCAGGGCCTGAGACAGAGGGGCAGACAATTGCACCCTTGCCAGAATTCACTCAAACTTCATCCAGCCCATAGACTCTGGGTTTCCAACTGCTTTTACATCAGCAGTAAAAAAAGGAACAAAAACCGGAATGGAACCTGTTAAAGTGTGTTTCTGAGGACGAGGTCATGGGGGAGCAGGGTGGGCATGCGGCCCCACACCCGGGGTCTCCCCGGGGCTGGATGTTGTGGATGGCCAGGGGCTGCAGGGCCCAGGGCAGGCGAGATGTGGCGGGTGCCCAGGAGTGCTGCTCCGCAGGAAGGAGATGAGGTCACAAGACAGCACGAAAGACACACGAACATACATGTAACACACATGGACACACACACCAGCTGGCCACGTGCACCCGCTGCTTTGCAGAAGAGATTTCAAAAGAACAGCCTGAGGCCCGCAGAGTGGCAGGAGCTGGGGTCACCCACCGCTGGTTGGCGCAGGCTCTAAGGGTGATGGGGCACCCTTGGCTGGGGGGTAGGGGGAGCGTGGCGCGGTCTTGGAAAACAACAGAACTGTCCGAATTAAACAAAGCTTAAAAAAAAAACCCAAGTGGTGTGGGTCCTTTTTGTAGAAAAGAAGGCTGCAGGCAGAGACCTGGGGCACGCACACGGTGGCAAGGTCTGGGGGTACATCCGCTCTCCCCAGGCCGCAGCCATCCCCTGCCAGCCGCTCCCCTGTTGCTCCGCGTTTCCGTGTAAACCGGGAACAAAAAAATCGGCTATCAAACGTGAGTCGTGTAAACACAGTGATGGGTGTGCGGGCTCACGGCCGCGGGGCCAGCCCGGTTCCCGTGCTGTTCTCCTGAGTCCGGGACGCGCCTCTGCGGGGCGATGCGTCTCCCGCCCGGACCTCCCGAGGCTGCGGGTCATGCGCGTGGGGTCCTCAGGGCATCGCCTTCGCCCCTAGCCCTGCAGGTCCGAGAAGGCTGCGGGGCCGCCCTCGCTGCAGCTGGACGAGTTGCTCAGGGCGGCCGAGCCCGGGCTAGACTCTGCGGGGAGAGCAGGCGGGTCTGGGACAGCAGCGGGGTGCGTGGAGCAGCGTGCGGGGCACCGGGTGGGGTGCAGGCGGCAACGGAGTGCAGGGTGTGTGGGGTAGCATGCAGGAGGCTGCGGGGTGCGTGGGGCAGCGTGCGGGGGCACGGCGCCTACCTGAGCTGCTGGGAGCGCGGGCCGAGGCCGGCCGGCCCAGCAGCACGCGCAGGCTGCCCGCGGGGACCCAGCCCTCGGTGCCGCTGCTCAGGTCCCGCACGTACCTGCAAGAGGCGGGCAGCGGCTCCAGTGGCGTGGCGGGCCGGGGCGGCGGGGCAGCCGGGTGGGCGCGGGTCTTACCAGAGGCCCTCGGCCCTCTCCTCCACCACCTCCAGCACGTCGCCGCTCCTCACCGCCAGAGCGGCGGGGCCCGTCTTCTCGAGGTCTGCGGTGGCCGTGTATTTCCCGGGGACCTGCGGGGCTCCGGGTAAGGGCCAGGGTGGGGGCACGCCCCCTCGGTGTTGGCAGGCCCAGGCGGGTGGCCAGCCAGTCCACCCAGCTGTCGGACATCCGCGCTAGGAGCCTGGCAGCCCAGCATGGACAGTGTCATGGCGGGGTCCCTGGCAATGCCGGCCTCCTTGCCCTGTGCCCCCTGTGCCTGGGACTGATGGCTGAGGGTGCCCAGCGGCTTCGCCCCCCATGCTCACGCGTTCCCCCGTTCTCCCAGAAGCCAGAGCCGTCCTCCCAAGTCTGTACTTGCACACACACAGGACCCAGACACTTCCCAGGCCTGGTCCCTGCCCACACTCCCCTCCCCCAGGGCGGCTGCCTGGAGAGACCCCTTGCCCAGGGCCCCTCCCCCCTCCAAACACCTGGGAAGATCAGGTCAGTGACATGGACTGTCCCCAGTAGGCACGGCCCCTGACAGAGGCCGAGGGTGGCCCTGGGCCAGGGAGCTCCCCGCAGCCGTGCCCCCTCCGCCCCTGCCCTAGGGAGACCAGGTTACCAGCTTCCCAGTGCCTCCTTCTTCTTCCACGTCAGACGAGTTGCCGAGTTCCTCTGCGCTGGACCAGCTGCCATCGTCCTCCGGGGCCTCCGGTGAGTGTGGCGTTGTACTCCAGCCTGGGACGGAGTGCACACTGTGAGGACGGGCCACCTGCAGAGCCACCACATCCAGGCAGGGCCACCGCGTCCAGGCAGGGCCACCGCGTCCAGGCAGGGCCATCAGGTCCAGGCAGGGCTGCCTGGTGTCACTGACCTGGCACCCTTGGAAGACATGGACCCTGGGGCTGAGCAAACCACATCCACATCGGTGACAGGGACTGGCGGCAGCTCAATCCCCATGGGGCTGCACACAGCTCACACCACACACAGCTCACACACCTCACACCACACACAGCTCACACCACACACACCTCACACACCTCACACCACACACAGCTCACACCAAACACCACGCACACACCTCACACCACACACCTCACACCACATACCTCACACCTCACACAGCTCACACCACACACACCTTATACCACACACTCCTCACACCACACACACCACACACACCTCACACCATGCACACCTCACACCACACACACCTCACACCACACACAGCTCACACCACACACAGCTCACACCACACACACCTCACACCACGCACACCTCACACCACACACAGCTCACACCACACACAGCTCACACCTCACACACCTCACACCACACACCTCACACCACACACACCTCACACCACACACACCTCACACCACACACACCACACACACCACACACACCTCACACCACGCACACACAACACACCTCACACCACACACCATGCACACACAACACACCTCACACCACACACCTCACACCACGCACACGTCACACCACACACACCTCATACACCTCACACCACGCACAGCTCACACCACACACACCTCACACCACACACACCTCACACCATACACACCTCATACCACACACACCTCACACCACACACAGCTCAATCCCCATGGGGCTGCACAGACCACACACACCTCACACTACTTATACATCCACGTCACACCACACACAACACACCACAAACATACATCGCACACCACATAACACACCACACACCACTTAACACACCACACACATGTAAAGCATATGCAACACATGCACCACAGCACACATACAACACACCACACACACACACCCCACAGCAGCACACCAGGGAATCTGGCTTGTGGCTCCCCACCTTCCAGCTGGGACACCTCCAGCATGGTGGATGGTGGCAGTTACAGACGAGAGGTGTGCAGGTGTGCCTGCCCCCCACTGCTGCCAGACCAGGGGGTGGCCGTGTCCAGGCATTTCCAGATGCCCCTGGGGCCCGAGGCTGGTCAAGGGCACTTCTCCTTGTGGGCTGACATCTCTGTACTTGACCTAGGCCAAGCAGCCAGTCCTGCCCTGTGTCACACTGGCTGGCCTGTGTGCAGGGACAGGGATGTGGCATGCTTTCTGCAATCCCCAGGCTCCTGGTGTGCCAGGGCGTACTGGACAGGGAGCCCGGGGGTCCCTAGAGCCACAGGCAGCCCCTCACTGCCCACTGACGAGGGAGAGGCGGTGGCAATGCTGGTGGAGAGCGGTTCCTCACTGGGGCATGGGGAGGGTGGTGGTGACAGGGGCAGGGCTAGCAGCGGCCACGGCCAGCAGGTGGCCGAGTCACTCTACCTCGCAGACCAAAGGGAGTTGGGTCGCTCCTGACTTCGTGTCTCTTAGCTTTTTTGTCAGGACTGGAAGGAGAAGCTGCAGGAGGGAGAGACAGAGAGAGGAAGGGAGAGGAGGACAGTGTGAGAGCAGGTGGTAGGTGAGTGACAGGCAACAGGGCCGGGTGTGGCGGGCGAGTGACAGGCGACAGGGCCAGGTGTGGCAGGCGAGTGACAGGCAACAGGGTCGGGTGTGGCGGTCTGCCCTCCACCGGGAGAAGCAGCTTGAGTGAGCAGACGACAGTGGCTGAGGGGGTGTCACGAGCAGGGCTGGCAGGAGCTGTCCGGGCCGTCCTTCTGTCGGGGGCTGTCTCCAGCCATGTCCTTTGTGTCCCCAGCTGCAGCCTCGATCAGGGCCCCAGACACTCCAGCTGAGGGAGGCAGCTGAGCTTCGGGGTTCTGGGTTTTTCTTGGGGTTTCTCTCAGCCTGATTCTTGCCAGGAACTCTGGGAAGTGTCACCACCCTGCCCAATACCAAAGGCCCAGCAGAGAGAGGACAGGGAGGAGGGGGCCCTGTCCATGTCAGAGACAGCCCGGCCTGCAAGTGTCTGAGACAAGGGGATCCCTGAGATGGCTTTGAGCATCCAGCTGGGGTCCTGGCCACTGGCTGGGTTTGGTGGGGAGAGGGGAAAGATGTATGGACGGCGTCCACCACGGGTGGGGAGGGGGAAGCATGCATGGGCAGCGGTGGGGGTGGCTGGGACCCATAGCTGATGCCCTCCATGGTCAGCGGTGGGAGGGGTGATAGGACCCATGGCTGGTGCCCGCCACAGCTGACGGTGGGGGTGGCTGGGACGGATGGCCAGCCACGGGTGGGATGGGGTTCAGGAGGACTGACAGACAGTGCACACTCTCACCTCTCGGGCCCTGGAGTCCGGCACAGCCCGGCGGGGCGCAGTGCTTTCCTGACAGCATGGAGCTCTCAGAGGCGGAGCTGGGCACTGTGTCCTCTAGGGGAGAGAGAGCCGGTCCTGAGGTGTGGACGGCGGTGCCTGGACTGAGGATAGCTGCCGCGTGCCTCTGCGCGGTCCACACTCACCTGGGCCCCTCTCAGGGGGCTTGGGCAGTAACGCCGAGCCCGTGTAGCCCTCCAGGCCCAGGGGGTCAGCTTTCCGCTCCTCCGGCCTCCTGTTGTTCCTTGCGCTGCCCCGCGAGGGACTGGTGACCACAGGGAACAAGGCAGGGCTCAGGGCCAGGTGCCCAGGAGGCCCACCCAGATGTGAGAGGGGGCCAGCCCGGGAGTCAGCCAAGCGAGCCCAGGAGGAGGCCCGCACAGATGTCAGGGACATGGAGGGCCCTGGGGGTCACCCAAGGCTGGGCTGAGCTCACCTTGTGCTGGCGGGCGCCGGCAAGGGCAGGCTGTGGGACTGCTCCAGTGCCCGGTGCTGGCTGGCTTCTGTGAGGGACCCAGAGGGCAGAGCTCAGCTGGGAAGCCCGCAGGGAGTCAATCCAGAAGGAAAGCAGGGCGGGGCCGGGCCCACCCACCTCTGCACGCCTGCAGCTGGCTTGTCAGCACCTTCCGGATTTCGTTCACCCAAGCCGCCTTGATCTCAGGGGTCGGCGCCTGGACCCAAACGCAATGTCAGGGGATGAGCACCCGACCCCCACCCAGGCAGCCGCCCTCATCCTCTAAGCTGTGTGTGGAACCAGCAGGGACGGGATGGGGTCCCTGGCTCTGCGATTGCCCAGGGCACATGGGAAGGGCCATGTGTGCCGGTGGTGGGTACCCAAGGGCCCTGCAGTGCCACCAGCATTCCACAGAGTCCCTGGGCAGGCTCTGGGCACGAGCTGCCTCATGGCCATTGGACCTCATTCTAAGTGACCAGCATAAGGGTGACTGAGCTCCCAGGCCAGGGAGTGCCTCCCCATGGCCAGACGGAGGTCACAGCTGGGCAGCAGCCCCAAGGAGGGGCCGGATGTTCGGCATTCAGGCCCAGCCGGGTGAGGCCCTGAGGGACTGGCCATGGGCGCATGGACAGGACGCTGCCCCAGTGTACGCTGCACCTCTCCTGGACTGTGCCCTCCAGGGCCCAGGGGCGCCGACCCAGACCCCAGCCTACCTGCACTATGTACACCTCTTCCCGTGCGTTATACCAGATCTCGAACTTCTTGCTGTCACCCTTGACATTCTCAGTGATGCCCACGGCGGTCATCTGGTGGGTGGGGCATGGTTACCATGACGGGCACACAGCTGGGCAGGGCACCCTGGCCCGCCCTGGGGTGGGTGCATGGAACCCTGGCTGGCGCTCACATTGAGAGACTGCTTGTAGCTGTAGGAGGGGGCCTTCTCGTAGCCCTCGCCGTTCTCCTCCCGCTTCTTACAGAATAGCACCGCCTTCTCGTGCAAGAACAGGTGGCGTTGCATGGGCTTGAACCTGGCCAGCTCCTTGACCTTGGTGTGGCCCTTCTTGTGGTCAGTCCACACGCTGAAGGAGCCTTGCATCAGTAGCCGTCCCAGATCGCTGAGGTTTCCCTGGAACGAACGTGGCCATGGCTGAGGTTGGGCGGCTCCAGGGTCTCCCAGGACGTGGCCAGGCAGGGCCCCTCCTGGTCATAGCCGAGTGGGGGTCTCCTAGGATGTGGCCAGGCAGGGCCCCTCCTGGTCATAGCCGAGTGGGGGTCTCCTAGGATGTGGCCAGGCAGGGCCCCTCCTGGGTCATAGCCGAGTGGGGGTCTCCTAGGATGTGGCCAGGCAGGGCCCCTCCTGGTCATAGCCGAGTGGGGGTCTCCCAGGACGTGGCCAGGCAGGGCCCCTCCTGGTCATAGCTGAGAGGGGATCTCCCAGGACGTGGTTAGGCAGGGCTCCTCCTGGGTCATAGCTGAGAGGGGATCTCCCAGGACGTGGCTGAGCGGGCCTCCCAGGCATGGGCACAGGGCAGCAGGTGAGCACAGGGCATCCCGGGCTGAAGCAGGCTGCCACATGCTGCTGAGAGTCGACCAGGGCAGTGGTGATTTCAGCAAACACCCGGCCGTGAGCAGAGGTGCTAAGGCAGGTGTAAGGGGGCCAGGTGAGCTCAGTCATTAATCACCCTGGAATTGACTGACTGCAAGAGAACTGAAGTGGAGTGTTGAAGGATAAACGGAGCAAATGGTGGCTAGGCAGCCCGGAGGCCCTTGAAGAGGAGGAGGAGCTGCCCCTGCAAACTGTTCCCCTTCCCCGCTGGCAGCCCCAGGTCCATGGCAAGGGTTGGAGTGGCAGGTGGCCCAAGTGCAGAGCCCCAACACAGTCAGCCTGAACTCAGCACAGGCTGCCGAGCTCACCAGGCAGGCAGAGCTGAGCAGAACCAGGAGGGTGGATGGCCCTGCCTCACGCCCCAGCCTGCTTGCCACCCAGGATCTTACATCATAGCCCGTGATGGCGATGAGGTGCATGGAGTCATTGACGGCCTTGAGGATGCCAAGGATGGAGCTGAGCGCCTCCTGCAGGTCCTCGGCACCCTCGCAGTTCTTGCTATATTTCAGCATTTCCTGGGGGGTGGGGGGCAGAGGCCGAGCACGCTCCAGCAGCTGTCCAGCACCAGCCCCCCTTACTACCCCTTAGCCTTCTGCCTGCTGCTTTACTCCTGGCTAAGGCTGGCAGCCAAGGCCGGAGGACACGAAGAGCACATGGGCTCCACTGGCCGGCCAGGGAGGGGCCCATCTGTTCCCTGGACACCCTGCCCCTCCCTTTGTGTGTGTGAGTCCGTGGTTCTAGGGAGGTCCCTGAGGCTGGGAAAGGGGCCAGGGCAGTGGACTGGACGGCGGGCAGGCAGCCGGACGACCCACCTTCAGCAGCAGCTGGTACTTGGTGACCCTCTGCACGGGCTTCAGCAGGTAGGAGTCCAGGCTCAGCTTGTGGTCCAGCTTCTTCTGGCACTCCTGCGGGGACAGTGGTGGTCAGCCCTGCTGGGCCTGTGTGTGGTAGGGGCTCATGGGCGTGGCAGGACCCACCTGGAAGAAGGGGCAGTCAGAGCACTGGCGCCACAGGCTCTCAGAGCGCGGCTTGTTCTGGCAGTATTTCTCGTAGACCTGGAACTCCTCCATCTGCAGGGGGGTGTAGCCCCTTATAGCCAGGGATGCCTACAACCCCTGTCCCCTGCTGGCTCTCCCAGAAGGCCCTACAGGGGGGGCCTGGCCTTCCTGGGCTGAGGGGCCTCGTGGACAGTGCCTGCCCCATAGTCCCTGATGCCCAGGCCTCAGCCTGGCACCTGCTGAACTCCACTCCTGCTGTCCGAAGGCACCTTACCTGCCTCACTAAACTGCTATAACAAGCCCGAGGGAGGGCTGGCCCCACACCCTGCCCTTTCTGCCCCCACAACTCTGGCACTGGCCTCCTGTGGTCGCAGTCCCTCCACCCACTTAGGGAGAACTCAGGCAGGCCAGTGTAGTTAGCAAGGGAGGGCTGCCAAAGCTGGGTGAGACCAGCCAGGAACACACACAACACATGACACACACACGACACCAGGTATGCAGACATACACACATACACCAGGCACACACATGCATACACACAACAGCACATGCATATATACACATACATACACCAGGCACACACCCACATACATACAACAACACACACATACACCAGACACACACACATACATACAACAGCACATACACACACCAGGCACATACATACACACAACAACAGACATACATATGCACAAGGTATACACAGCACACACATACACTCATGTACATGCACATCACATGCACAAGCGTGAAGCAAGTCCTTTCACTGGCACCCAGAAATACGGGCTGGAAGGGCCTGTACCCCGAGGAGCTGGGGCTGGAAGGGCCTGTACCCCGAGGAGCTGGGGCTGGAAGGGTCCTGAACCCCAAGAAACTTGGGCACTGGAAGGGTCCTGAACCCCGAGGAGCTGGGGCTGGAAGGGTCTTGAACCCCGAGGAGCTGGGGCTGGAAGGGTCCTGAACCCCGAGGAGCTGGGGCTGGAAGGGTCCTGAACCCCGAGGAGCTGGGGCTGGAAGGGTCTTGAACCCCGAGGAGCTGGGGCTGGAAGGGTCCTGAACCCCGAGGAGCTGGGGCTGGAAGGGTCCTGAACCCCGAGGAGCTGGGGCTGGAAGGGTCCTGAACCCCGAGGAGCTGGGGCTGGAAGGGTCCTGAACCCCGAGGAGCTGGGGCTTGTTGTCCCTCTACTTTCTCCCCTCAGTTGGCCTGAGGAAAGGCTGTGCTTCTGGTCCTGTCTGGCCACACTGGGTAGGGGTGGGACAGGTGGTCAGAGCGGCAGTGGCCACAATGGGCAGGGAAACACTCACCCTCTCCAGGAAGCACCTGCCCACCAGCTCCGGGCAGTCGGCGTAGTTCTCCAGCTCCCGCAGGAAGATCCTGGTATATGGGGCCCTGTCAAGTCTGGGCTGGCCCTGGGATCCAGGCAGCACCCAGTTCCTGGCCTGGGCTTTGCCTGCCGTGCTTCTGTCAACCCTGGGCCCACATCTCCCCAGGGGCAGACCTGGGGTGGGCTGCACTCCCTGCTCCCACACGGTGCGGGAGGCTGGCAGCACCCAGCCAGGCCCCACCTGTGGTGGAAGTGGTAGATTTCCTCCATGTTCCCAAACAAGATTCCCTTCTTGTTGGCAAGGCCAGGGGACAGGAGGTGTGCCATCAGAGGATTGTCCATCTCAGCGGCATAGCCCTGTGGGGGAGGCAGGGGTCAGCAGGCAGACCCCACGTCTGGTGGCACTTACCGCAGCCCAAACGCATGCGCACACCAGACAGCCAAGGCTCTTGAAGGGCACCCACTTCATACCCTGCCCCATGAGGTCTGTGACCCCACTCGCCCTGCCCCAGGCTGCCTGCTCTGTGATGCCCATGTGGGGCTCTGAGTCCTCAGTCAGGGCTGTTGCCCTTGTCCTGAGCGCCCCCTACACAGGGGCACTCGGGGATGGCCGGCTGAGGCCCCGTCCAGCGTGGAACCTCCGGCATCCAGCCTCACCTCCAGCACACAGAGCAACTCGTCCACATAGGCGCGCTCCGTGTCCAGCAGTTCATTCATCACGTGTCTGGGAAGCGTGAGAGCAGATGGTCCTCGCAGTGGACAAAGGGGGCAGGTGTCCCCTCTGCCCTGCTCCCCAGCACACAGAGACCCCCACTCGGGGCCTCGCCCAGCTGCCTGCACCCGCCTGGGCCAGCTGAGTCCCAGCAGCCATCTGCTGAGGACTTCAGGAAAGCCGGGGGGCAGGCAGGCTCTCGGCTGGGGGTGTCCTGTGAGCAGATTGGGGGTGTCCTGTGAGCAGATTGGGGGTGTAAAGGCAGTGGGCAGTGAACTGCGGGAGGTCCTGTGGAAGCAGACCCCGCACAGTCAGCAGCAGAAGGAGGTGAGAAGACTTAGGGATGCTGAGGGTACCTGTGTCACCTACCTGGCTGGCGCACAGCCCCTCCCCAAGTGTGCCGAGGTGCCCACTGTGTCCCCTCTGTGGCGTGGCCTGGGGTGCCCAGGACTCACCTGCGCAGCACGGCCAGGCTCTCCTCCTCGTCCCCAGCTGAGCCGCCCCGGCCCTGGCGGTTCTCGTTCATTTCACTCTGAGGAGGAGGATGCTGGGTCAGGGGTGCCCAGGGCAGTTCCCTGACTCCTGCAGGGGCGGAATGGGTCCCAAAGGACCATGAGGGAGGCAGGGAAGCCAGGAGGGGCACCACACTCACCTTAGCCCTCCGGTAGGGCCCCCGCCGCTGGGCTCTGCCGTCGGAGCTGCTGATCTCAGAGCCTCGTCGGATGCCTGGGCGGGGAAGACGAGAGGAAGGCGTGAGCTGCGCCCACAGGGTGGGGATGAAGACCATTGGAGATGGCAGCCCAGGAAGCCCCCACACAAAGCTTGTGGCCCCCACGGCCCAGCACGTCCTGGAAGACGCAGGTAGCCAGAGCCAGGCAGGGAGGTGACAGACGGCAGGACACACCTAGGACAGGCTGAGGTGAGGTGCGCAGACCCCGGAGTGGTGTGGAGGCAGAGAATATGTGGGAGCATGCTGCTGTGAGTGAGGGACAGAGTAGGGGAGCCCGTCAGTGTCCTGGCTGGTGGAGGGGCTGCACCCACAGACATTGTGTGTCTTTCCTAGAGGCTCTGAGCCCAGGATGGGGGTGTAGTGACACACCTGGGAGAGGACACACCTGGGGGGACACACCTGGGAGAAGATGCACCTGGGAAAGGAAGACATTCCTGGGGAAGAAGGACACACCTGGGGAGGGAGGACACACCTGGGAGAGGACACACCTGGGGAGGGAGGACACACCTGGGAGAGGACACACCTGGGGAGGGAGGACACACCTGGGGCGACACACCTGGGAGAAGATGCACTTGGGAAAGGAAGACATTCTTGGGGAAGAAGGACACACCTGGGGAGGGAGGACACACCTGGGAGAGGACACACCTGGGGAGGGAGGACACACCTGGGAGGGAGGACACACCTGGGGAGGAGGGAGGACACACCTGGGGAGGGAGGACACACCTGGGAGAGGACACACCTGGGAGAGGACACACCTGGGAGGGAGGACACACCTGGGGAGGAGGGAGGACACACCTGGGGAGGGAGGACACACCTGGGAGAGGACACACCTGGGAGAGGACACACCTGGGAGGGAGGACACACCTGGGGAGGAGGGAGGACACACCTGGGGAGGGAGGACACACCTGGGAGAGGACACACCTGGGGAGGGAGGACACACCTGGGGAGGGAGGACACACCTGGGGAGGGAGGACACACCTGGGAGAGGACACACCTGGGGAGGGAGGACACACCTGGGAGAGGACACACCTGGGGAGGGAGGACACACCTGGGGAGGGAGGACACACCTGGGGAGGGAGGACACACCTGGGAGAGGACACACCTGGGGAGGGAGGACACACCTGGGAGAGGACACACCTGGGAGAGGACACACCTGGGAGGGAGGACACACCTGGGGAGGAGGGAGGACACACCTGGGGAGGGAGGACACACCTGGGAGAGGACACACCTGGGGAGGGAGGACACACCTGGGGAGGGAGGACACACCTGGGGAGGGAGGACACACCTGGGAGAGGACACACCTGGGGAGGGAGGACACACCTGGGGAGGGAGGACACACCTGGGGAGGGAGGACACACCTGGGAGAGGACACACCTGGGGAGGGAGGACACACCTGGGAGAGGACACACCTGGGGAGGGAGGACACACCTGGGGAGGGAGGACACACCTGGGGAGGGAGGACACACCTGGGAGGAGGGAGGACACACCTGGGGAGGAGGAGGACACACCTGGGGAGGGAGGACACACCTGGGGAGGGAGGACACACTTGGGAGAGGACACACCTGGGGAGGAGGGAGGACACACCTGGGGAGGGAGGACACACCTGGGAGAGGACACACCTGGGAGAGGACACACCTGGGGAGGGAGGACACACCTGGGGAGGGAGGACACACCTGGGAGAGGACACACCTGGGGAGGGAGGACACACCTGGGGAGGAGGGAGGACACCTGAGGAGGGAGGACACACCTGGGGAGGAGGGAGGACACACCTGGGGAGGGAGGACACACCTGGGGAGGAGGGAGGACACACCTGAGGAGGGAGGACACACCTGGGAGAGGACACACCTGGGAGAGGACACACCTGGGGAGGGATGACACACCTGGGGAGGAAGGAGGACATACCTGGGGAGGGAGGACACACCTGGGAGAGGACACACCTGGGGAGGGAGGACACACCTGGGGAGGGAGGATACACCTGGGGAGGGAGGACACACCTGGGAGAGGACACACCTGGGGAGGGAGGACACACCTGGGGAGGGAGGACACACCTGGGGAAGAGGGAGGACACACCTGGGGAGGAGGGAGGACACCTGAGGAGGGAGGACACACCTGGGGAGGAGGGAGGACACACCTGGGGAGGGAGGACACACCTGGGGAGGAGGGAGGACACACCTGAGGAGGGAGGACACACCTGGGAGAGGACACACCTGGGGAGGGAGGACACACCTGGGAGAGGACACACCTGGGGAGGGAGGACACACCTGGGGAGGGAGGACACACCTGGGGAGGGAGGACACACCTGGGGAGGAGGGAGGACACACCTGGGGAGGAGGGAGGACACACCTGGGGAGGGAGGACACACCTGGGGAGGGAGGACACACTTGGGAGAGGACACACCTGGGGAGGAGGGAGGACACACCTGGGGAGGGAGGACACACCTGGGAGAGGACACACCTGGGAGAGGACACACCTGGGGAGGGAGGACACACCTGGGGAGGGAGGACACACCTGGGAGAGGACACACCTGGGGAGGGAGGACACACCTGGGGAGGAGGGAGGACACCTGAGGAGGGAGGACACACCTGGGGAGGAGGGAGGACACACCTGGGGAGGGAGGACACACCTGGGGAGGAGGGAGGACACACCTGAGGAGGGAGGACACACCTGGGAGAGGACACACCTGGGAGAGGACACACCTGGGGAGGGATGACACACCTGGGGAGGAAGGAGGACATACCTGGGGAGGGAGGACACACCTGGGAGAGGACACACCTGGGGAGGGAGGACACACCTGGGGAGGGAGGATACACCTGGGGAGGGAGGACACACCTGGGAGAGGACACACCTGGGGAGGGAGGACACACCTGGGGAGGGAGGACACACCTGGGGAAGAGGGAGGACACACCTGGGGAGGAGGGAGGACACCTGAGGAGGGAGGACACACCTGGGGAGGAGGGAGGACACACCTGGGGAGCGAGGACACACCTGGGGAGGAGGGAGGACACACCTGAGGAGGGAGGACACACCTGGGAGAGGACACACCTGGGAGAGGACACACCTGGGGAGGGATGACACACCTGGGGAGGAAGGAGGACATACCTGGGGAGGGAGGACACACCTGGGAGAGGACACACCTGGGGAGGGAGGACACACCTGGGAGAGGACACACCTGGGGAGAGGACACACCTGGGGAGGGAGGACACACCTGGGAGAGGACACACCTGGGGAGGGAGGACACACCTGGGGAGGGAGGACACACCTGGGGAAGAGGGAGGACACACCTGGGAGAGGACACACCTGGGGAGGGAGGACATACCTGGGGAGGGAGGACACACCTGGGGCGACACACCTGGGAGAAGATGCACTTGGGAAAGGAAGACATTCTTGGGGAAGAAGGACACACCTGGGGAGGGAGGACACACCTGGGAGAGGACACACCTGAGGAGGGAGGACACACCTGGGAGGGAGGACACACCTGGGGAGGAGGGAGGACACACCTGGGGAGGGAGGACACACCTGGGAGAGGACACACCTGGGGAGGGATGACACACCTGGGGAGAGGACACACCTGGGGAGGGAGGACACACCTGGGAGAGGACACACCTGGGGAGGGAGGACACACCTGGGGAGGGAGGACACACCTGGGGAGGGAGGACACACCTGGGAGAGGACACAACTGGGGAGGGAGGACACACCTGGGGAGGGAGGACACACCTGGGGAGGGAGGACACACCTGGGGAGGGAGGACACACCTGGGGAGGAGGGAGGACACACCTGGGGAGGAGGGAGGACACACCTGGGGAGGGAGGACACACCTGGGGAGGGAGGACACACTTGGGAGAGGACACACCTGGGGAGGAGGGAGGACACACCTGGGGAGGGAGGACACACCTGGGAGAGGACACACCTGGGAGAGGACACACCTGGGGAAGGAGGACACACCTGGGGAGGGAGGACACACCTGGGAGAGGACACACCTGGGGAGGGAGGACACACCTGGGGAGGAGGGAGGACACCTGAGGAGGGAGGACACACCTGGGGAGGAGGGAGGACACACCTGGGGAGGGAGGACACACCTGGGGAGGAGGGAGGACACACCTGGGGAGGGAGGACACACCTGGGAGAGGACACACCTGGGAGAGGACACACCTGGGGAGGGAGGACACACCTGGGGAGGAAGGAGGACATACCTGGGGAGGGAGGACACACCTGGGAGAGGACACACCTGGGGAGGGAGGACACACCTGGGGAGGGAGGATACACCTGGGGAGGGAGGACACACCTGGGAGAGGACACACCTGGGGAGGGAGGACACACCTGGGGCTGTGTCAGGGGCCTTTGTCAGCGCTTCGGGTCGGGGGGCCACTGGCTGCACAGGCCGTGTCTGCTTGGCTGCCAGCTTCCGGAGGCTGGCCTCCCGCCGCTGGAACATTTCCTGGGTGCTCTCTTGTTTCTGGAAGACCCTCTGCACGTGATCCTTTGGGGGGGTATGATACGGGACGTCACTGCTACCCCTGGGACTGGCTCCCCTCCATGTTCCTCTATCACCCCATGTCCTTCTGTCTCCCCCACAGAGTTACCTCATTGTACCCCCATTCCCATGTCTCCCTGTTTACCCCCAAACCTCCATCACTCACATGTCCCCCTCACCTCCTCACCCTCAGGCCTCCCACATTGCTCCTCTGTCACCTTCACATCCTTCCATTACCACCCCCATGTCCTCTGTCCCTTCCCCCATGAAGTCCCGGCCTCCAGCCCTCAGCCCGGGCCCCATTGGTACCCGCAGGTCCTGGGTGAGGATGCTCGCATACTCCTGGTACAAGAAGCCAGGCTCCCCGAGCTTGCGCCCAGCCCCTGTCTCCAGGAACTTCTCGATCTCTTGCAGGGCCGCCTGGGCCCCATCCTGCGACTGGCACTTGTCCACGGGCTGCGAGGCCAGCAGGTAGATGCCCTCGTCACACCACTTCATAGTCTGCCGGCAGGAAGTGGGGGGAAGGGTGCTTTAGGCATCGGCCATGTTCTCTGGACAGCTCTGCCTTGGGGTCCCCCGAAAGCTAGCTTAACGTTCTCAGTGCTGTCATTCTAGTCCCTGGACATTGGTGGGTGGGTTGGTGAGTTCTGGGGAGCCCCCAAGGGTAGCATCAGGCCCTGTGCCAGCAGAGTACAGTGGGTGGGTGGAGCCTCTGCAGGCAGGGGCAGGACCACTGTGGCTGCAGGCAGAGCTACTAGAGGTGGGGCTGCCAGGGACCAGGGGTGGAACCATCATGGGTGCGGCAGGGCCGTTGCAGGTGGGGGCGGGGTTACCGTGGGCTGGGCGCCACACCTCTTCCAGGAGGCCGTGCAGCTCTAGGGACTTGCTCAACTGCCCCCTCCTTCTGGAGACCTCGGAGGCGAAGTGGTTGCACAGGTGATGTAGCTCCTGGCACTTGGGGAGGATGGAGTCCACCGCGTAGTGCTTGTTTTCCATGAGCCGCTCGCCCTCCAGTGCCAGGGCTCGGGCACGGTCCACGGCCGCCTAGGGGACATGGTGGTCACAGGGGTGCCGGGCAGTGTCCTTCCATGTCCTCTCATGGTTGGGGAGGCTGGAAGGCTCTCCGTGCTGCACAGCAGCTGCGGCTCACACAGCACTGTGGACACGGAGGTGCCTCGAGCCAGCCAGAGTGGCCCTCCGGCTGGGAGGGGCTACCTGCCTGTGCCCCGATGAGGCGCCGCCCCCCGCTCCGTGGCCTGGTCGTACCCGAGACTTGTCCTCAAAGCTGGCCAGGTCCTTCAGCAGGTGCTCCACGTGCGCCAGGCTGTTGCCCACGTCCGTGAAAGATGCCATCTTCTGGGTCACAGTGTCCAAGGTAGCTGTGACCTGGCAGGAGGGCAGGGTCACAGCTCAGGCAGCCGAGGGGACAGGACTGCTGGCTGTCTTGAACCCCTGACTGCTAACAAAGCTATGCAGTGTGGTGGGTCCAGACATCACACACACGTGCGCACACAGAGGAAATGACAGGCAGCACTGAACTGCAACCTGCCAAACGCAACTGAAATGTGAACGGTTTAACATGTCACTCGAACAGCAGAGCATGGCAGTGCAGACGGAGAAGCAGCCCTGCCCCGTGCTGCCCCCACAAACCTTCACCGGGCACAGGAAGGTGAATGGGCAGGGCCGAGAGGAGTGGGGACGGGACAGGGCAGGCTGAGAGGTGCAGGCGGCGACCAGCGCAGGACAGCAGGGGTGGCTCTGGGGATGGGCTGTGTGTGGATGTGGCATGCAGCCTGTGTCAGCACCTGGCCCCTCTGCCCTGACTCACCTCGCGGAAACCCTGCTCAAAGTGCCGGAGCTGCAGGCACTGCTGAAGCTTCTGCTGGTGCCTCGCCCAGAATTCGTCAAAGGCAGCCTCTGTCTCGTTCAGCTGTGCCAGGAGCCTGGGAGGAAGCGCGCCATCACAGGGCACGTGTGCGGGGCCGTGTGCCTGCACCCACATGCGCTTCCCCAGCGTCCAGGGTGCTGGGTGACAGCCTGGGAGGCTGTGCTGGACACTGGGTCCTGTGCCTCACTCAACCCCATGCTGAGCTCTTCTCGGGGGCCCACCTGGAGGTCACCCACTTCCCCCCTCAAGGCGGCCCTGACCGTGGGTGCCCCCCGGCCTGGCTCACATGGATAGCCCACAAAGCCTGGCCTCCACCCACGTGTCCTCATGCGTGCCAGTCTGTGCATGGTGCTAACAGGGTTGTGGAGGGAGGAGTGTGCGGCCCTGGCTGTCAGCCCACCAGGCAGATGCCCTGTGATGAGGTGTGGCACTGGGGACAGCACCTACTCTTGGCCGCAGCACGCAAAAGCAGGTCACCAGCACAAGGGGTGGGTGTGGGGTGTGTGGGAAGCCCCCAATCAGAGCCTGACTCCAGCTCCCCGCTGACGTGCACCCTGGGGAGGCAGTGGCGACAGCCCAGGGCAGGCCCGCTCACCTCTGCACGGTGGCCTGGTTGTCCAGCTGGTCCTGGTTCACGCCACGCGCCGTGGCCTCGGCCAGCGGCTCCCGGAGGCTTTCCAGGATGTCGTGTCCTTCCTTCAGCGCCAGCTGCAGGTCTCCCTGCAGACACAGTGGCTGGGACTCGGAGAGGGCCGGGCGACTACCGGAGCAGGCAGTGCCTGGGGACGCGGCCCCGTGGGAGGTCGGCACTGGGGCAGGGCTGGGGTTACAGGACCCTCAGTGGCGCCGGGAGATGGGGGAGAAGTAACTGGAGACCAGGCCTTCTCCAGGCCTCTGCCCTGAGCGTGGAGAGGCCCCTCTCGGAGCGGCTGGTCCTCTGGGCTCAGCCTGAGCCATTGCAGTCACCACCCTCGCCAGGTGGGCTGGGCCACACCTCTTCCTTGGTAATCATAGGTACAGCTGCACGCAGCCGCCTGCAGCACCTGGGCCAGCCAGCACCCCACTGCCCGGAGGTGGGCATGGACAATGCTGACCTCTCCTGCTTCTCCGGGCTGACCAAGGACTCCGCCTGGGTTCCCAGCCTGGCCGCCTCTCCCCTCCCTGGTGTGCACACAGGACAGAAGGACCCCCAGCCCTGTCGTGGCGCCGGCACTGTTGCCCACACCTTCGCTCTGTCTTTCTTCTCCGTGTGTGCACGCAGCACCGAGCTTGTTGACTGGACATCGTTGGGCAGCTCCGTCTCGGCCAGCTCTGTGCCAAAGGCTTGCAGCATCTGAGCTGTCTGCTTCACCATGAGGGCGAAGCTCTCGATCGCCTGGGTGGGAGGGCACGTGTGTCACAGTGCTGTGTGCACGCAAGGACTTCTGGCTTCTGGAAGCAGACATGGTATTTGGGGGGCAGCCTGGGCAGGGACTCCAGCAAAGGCCATTGCAGCACTGTCAGGGCATGCAGGCTCACCGTGCGGTGGCACAGCCACCGGGAGTGGCAGTAGTCCAGGGTACCCCCAAGGTCCTCAGTCAGCTGTGACTTGTCGATGTAGCCCTGCAATTCCGGCACCGAGCTCAGCATTATGACCTGCAGGGTTGGGAGACAGGAGCTCCTCAGAGGGTCGAGGCCGGACAAGGCTGTTAGAATCATCATGGCACGGGGACGCCAGGGTATCGTGCAGGAAGCTGTGATGGACCACTCCCTGAAAGTTCTCCTGCAGGGGGTGCCTTGGCTGGAGCAGCTGAGGGGGCTGCCTCCCTACTGCGTGCCCGGCTTGCTGGGCTGGTGGGCTCCTCTTGGGGTCACTCCAGCTGCATTCACCGTGGGGGCTTTGAGGGAGGCAGGGACACAGCCCCAAGGACCATATCCACAGGACTCGACGCCCTATATCCTACAGCAGGGCTCAGAGAGTGCGATCCTGGCCCCAGGGATATGGACAGTTCTGGGCACCTGTTCAAATGACGGCAAGCTGTGGACAACCTGAAACCAAGGGACACAGTCCACGCTGTCCCTCCAGGTGGATGCTGAGTGCCCTGGGACATGGTGCATGCTTAAAATATGAGATTCCAAGGTGAAACTGGCATCCCATAGGGGCGCTGGTTTGAATCCTGGCTGTTCTACTTTCCATCCAGCTCCCTGCTGTGGCCTGGGAAAGCAGAGGACAACGGCCCAAGCCTTGGGACCCCGCACCTACCCCCGAGACCCAGAGTAGACCCCTGGCTTTGGCTCAGCTCTAGCTGTTGGGGCAGGTGGGGAATAAGGCAGCAGGTGGAACCTCTCCTCTCCGACACCCCTTCAGACAAACAAATCCTGATTAGACAATCATGAGATTCTGAATTCCAACCAAAACTGCGTGGGCTATAGATGACTCAGTCCCCTCGGGCCTCCCACGGAGCCAGTCACACCTGCCCAGAGAACTGATGCTGGCAGGGTGAGCCAGGCCTGGCAGGGAGCCCAGGGCCTTGGGGTCTCCATCTCGGTCAATGTCTGGGGCCCCAGGCAAAGGACACAGCCCACAACTCCCACACTGCACCGGGGGATTCTCTTTGTGACTCTGGGAAATCCTTCAGGACGAGGTGGGGACATGCCAGGCTGACCTCTGAAACTCAGGGGGCAGGGGGTGCTACCAGTCCCAACAACAGCGGGGCTAGCTTTGCAGGAGCCCCCAGGGTGCCCTCATGGGATCGGCGACTCACCGGCACCTTCATCTTAAAGTCATCTCGGTTGAACTTGAAGGCTATGTCAGAGAGTGTCCGCTGGAGGAAGCCCGTGGGCCGCAGAACCAGCACGAGCTGCAGGTTTGCAGGGAAGGATGCCTGCGGGGGTAGGAGATGGTGAGAGGGGGGAAGGGTCCTCAGGGGGGCAACCATATCACCAGGGGAGGCCAGCCACTCCTGCCTGACCCCAGCGCCCTGTGCCCCTCAGGTGGGCTGACCCCAGCGCCCTGTGCCCCCTCAGGTGGAGGTGACCCCAGCGCCCTGTGCCCCTCTTGGGAGCCTGACCCCAGTGCCCTGTGCCCCTCAGGGGAGCCTGACCCCAGCCCTAGCTGTGCACATGGGAGGTCCTGGCTGGGTTCTAGCTTCAGTTCCACCCAGCCATGGCTGCCTCAGGATCGTGGGGAGTCAGCCAGCAGATGGAAGACTTTTCTGCCTCTCTGTTTTTGCTTCTCAGTGACCAAGAGGGCTGGGAGGCCGAGGGCTGTGGTCTCCAAGCTGGCAGCAGGTGCACGGGGGAGTCTAACTGCTGGCAAGATGCAAGGCAACCTCTCAGCCCCTCCTCCTGGGACCAGCAAAGCCATGGGCGCTATGCCCCTCCTGAGGGTCCTGCTGCATTTGTGACCCCGACCCTCGGCTTCTCCGGGACCCCTCCACCCCTGCCTGGACAGCACGAACCTTCCTCCACAGCATTCTGCAGGTCACCTCTGCCGAGAAGCCCCCAGGCCCCTCACGTGGATTGTGTGTGCCTCTCCTACACACACAGACTCTGGCCTCACAGCGCAGGCCCAAGCGGCAGATTTCACGGGAGAATTGGAACTGCATCTTCTAGGACGCTCAGCTGGGCAGCACAGAACCCCAAAGACACACGTAACACGTGTACATGCACAAACACACATGTACACTCATCCGCTCTGACACACCCACTGCCAGGCACAGGACAGGCTGGGTCTAGGCGGTTCCTGTCACACTCACACACGCTCGCTCTGATACCCCCACTGCCGGGCACAGGATAGGCTGCGTGGAGGTGGGTTCCTGTCACACTCACACACGCTCGCTCTGACACCCCCACTGCCGGGCACAGGACAGGCTGCGCGGAGGTGCTGGGCACAGGACAGGCTGCGCTGAGGTGCTGGGCACAGGACAGGCTGCGCTGAGGTGGGTTCCTGGAGAAGCATTAGACCCAGGAGAGTGCAGACTCCGAGCTGAGCATGAGGGTGGTAAGCCAGCCAGTCCTGGCCCCGGCTCCTGTCCCTCTTTCCTCACTGCCCAGGAGCCCGATGCTGTGGCAGGTAGATCCCCTCCCATCTGATACACCAGAGCCCATGCTGCCTCGGGTGGTGCACAGGAGCTGACTTGGAGCAGCTGGCACTGGGCTCGCCCAGCTCCTATCTTCATTCCAGGCAGGTGCTGGTCTCCAAAATGGGGGATGCTCAGCACAGGTGGAGGCTAAGAACACCCCAGAATGCCAGGGCCTTCCACAAGAGCCATTCTCCCTGGGGACTGGCTGCCATGACCCTGGCAGCCCAGAGAACTGTCCCCAGGGCTCTGGCTGACTGCACCCAATATTCTGAGTTTTCCTGAAGCTCCCAGTATGGAGGTGGACATGCTGGCCTGTGCAGCCTGCAATCCAGGTGCAGCCCGGTTGCCCTGCCCACATTCCCCGTCAGGTCACCACAAAGCATTGAGGCAAGACTCCGGTGCGGCCTGGTGCCCACGGCGAGGCCCACTCTCCACCCATAGCTGTGGCTGCTGTATTTGGTGTCTCCAGGTGCCAGTGGAGGGCGGCTGAGCCTGGCCTCCTTGGGTCTGTGGCCCCTGCTCCCTTGGCCTCCCACTGGCACTTCCCGGCGACCTGTGAACCACAGCGAGGGTCCTGTCTTCTCGTCCACACCAGATCCACTGGTGGGCCTGGAGCCCTCACACACAGGGATCCCAGAACAACAAAGAGGCCTGGCCCGGGGGTCTAGGCCGGTTGCCCTTCCACATGCCACCTGCTGTTCCAGGGCCCGATTCTCACTTCTGGTGCTTGGGACAGGCTGCAGGGGCTGGTGTGACCAGTTCAGGTGGAGCCTGGCCCCATGAGGCCTCATGGCTTCTCCAGGCGTGCCCTCTGTGCGGGAGGGTAAGTGGCAGCTGTGTGGGGTGGCAGGTGGCTATGTGGTTGTGCAAAGGTGAAGCAAAGAGAGGCAAAGAGAGGCCTCTGGGGCCTGGAGCCCATGGGTGGAGCACCAGGCTGGACCTGAGCTCTCACAGCTGCCCAACTGGTACCTCCTGCGAGTTTATCCACATCTGAAGTGGCGGTTCCCTTTAGATATGGGCTGAGGCAGGCAAGGCCCCAAGCTAGGGGGGTGCGGACCTGGAAGACTCTGCAAGGTGCTGTCAGCGTCTGGGTCAGGAGGCTGCGGGAGCCCAGGCAGCCAGGGAGGGAGGCCATGAGGACCAGCCTGGCATAGGGAGGCTGCCACATGCACCCTGGCCAGGGCAGCCAGCTCACGTCACGAACGCACACGGCCAGCAGCCCCAGCCTGACTCACCGCAATGCGCAGGATGGACGCCTTGACCGAGGTCCATTTGTCCTGCCGCCGGTCTATGACCAGGATAAACCCGATGCCGGCATCCTGCAGGCTGCAAGCAGGAGACAGTTGTCAGCTGCGTAGGCGCACAGTGGGGCAAGCGACCTCCTGTGTGCTGCAGGGGGTCCTCTGCCAGCCACCCGCCCCACTGTGCAGCAAGGCCTAGTGTGGCCTGGCACAGGACTGGCAGGCAGTGTGGGGCTCCCCCAGCCACGGGCTCTGCCAGCACCCGCTGCTACCAGCCAACACCAGCATGGTGAAGAGGCAGATGTCCAGTTCAGCCTTGGCCACCTCACCCAGGGTGGGGCCACCAGCAGGTGCTTGACTGTGACTACCCCTGAAGAGACAGGTCACCCCTGGCAGGGCCACCACAGCTCACCTACAGGCTCTTTATCTCCACCATGCTACAGGCAGAGGAGCCTTCCCTGAGCTGAGCCCAGATGGCTCTCCCTGGAGCCACAAGAGTGGGAGGCCAAAGGAGACGTGTTTTCACCCTTGGTGCTTGGTCTTGGGAATTCAGGACTGGTACCACAGGTCACCTCAGGCCATCACAGGCGCACACAGATACCCTCAGGCCATCACACACACACACAGGTGTCCTCAGGCCATCTCACACACACACAGGTGTCCTCAGGCCATCATATACACACACAGGTGTCCTCAGGCCATCTCACACACACAGGTGTCCTCAGGCCATCTCACACACACAGGTGTCCTCAGGCCATCTCACACACACAGGTGTCCTCAGGCCATCTCACACACACAGGTGTCCTCAGGCCATCTCACACACACAGGTGTCCTCAGGCCATCTCACACACACAGGTGTCCTCAGGCCATCTCACACACACACACAGGTGTCCTCAGGCCATCTCACACACACACACAGGTGTCCTCAGGCCATCACAGGCGCACACAGATACCCTCAGGCCATCACACACACACACAGGTGTCCTCAGGCCATCTCACACACACAGGTGTCCTCAGGCCATCTCACACACACAGGTGTCCTCAGGCCATCTCACACACACACAGGTGTCCTCAGGCCATCTCACACACACACACAGGTGTCCTCAGGCCATCTCACACACACACACAGGTGTCCTCAGGCCATCTCACACACACAGGTGTCCTCAGGCCATCTCACACACACACAGGTGTCCTCAGGCCATCATATACACACACAGGTGTCCTCAGGCCATCTCACACACACAGGTGTCCTCAGGCCATCTCACACACACAGGTGTCCTCAGGCCATCTCACACACACAGGTGTCCTCAGGCCATCTCACACACACAGGTGTCCTCAGGCCATCTCACACACACAGGTGTCCTCAGGCCATCTCACACACACACACAGGTGTCCTCAGGCCATCACAGGCGCACACAGATACCCTCAGGCCATCACACACACACACAGGTGTCCTCAGGCCATCTCACACACACAGGTGTCCTCAGGCCATCTCACACACACAGGTGTCCTCAGGCCATCTCACACACACACACAGGTGTCCTCAGGCCATCTCACACACACACACAGGTGTCCTCAGGCCATCTCACACACACACACAGGTGTCCTCAGGCCATCTCACACACACAGGTGTCCTCAGGCCATCTCACACACACACAGGTGTCCTCAGGCCATCTCACACACACACAGGTGTCCTCAGGCCATCTCACACACACAGGTGTCCTCAGGCCATCTCACACACACAGGTGTCCTCAGGCCATCTCACACACACAGGTGTCCTCAGGCCATCTCACACACACACACAGGTGTCCTCAGGCCATCACAGGCGCACACAGATACCCTCAGGCCATCACACACACACACAGGTGTCCTCAGGCCATCTCACACACACAGGTGTCCTCAGGCCATCTCACACACACAGGTGTCCTCAGGCCATCTCACACACACACAGGTGTCCTCAGGCCATCTCACACACACACACAGGTGTCCTCAGGCCATCTCACACACACACACAGGTGTCCTCAGGCCATCTCACACACACAGGTGTCCTCAGGCCATCTCACACACACACAGGTGTCCTCAGGCCATCTCACACACACACAGGTGTCCTCAGGCCATCTCACACACACACAGGTGTCCTCAGGCCATCATATACACACACAGGTGTCCTCAGGCCATCTCTCACACACACAGGTGTCCTCAGGCCATCACAGGCGCACACAGATACCCTCAGGCCATCACACACACACACAGGTGTCCTCAGGCCATCTCACACACACACAGGTGTCCTCAGGCCATCTCACACACACAGGTGTCCTCAGGCCATCTCACACACACAGGTGTCCTCAGGCCATCTCACACACACAGGTGTCCTCAGGCCATCTCACACACACACAGGTGTCCTCAGGCCATCTCACACACACAGGTGTCCTCAGGCCATCTCACACACACAGGTGTCCTCAGGCCATCTCTCACACACACACAGGTGTCCTCAGGCCATCTCACACACACACACAGGTGTCCTCAGGCCATCTCACACACAGATGCCCTCAGGCCATCTCACACACACAGGTGTCCTCAGGCCATCTCACACACACACAGGTGTCCTCAGGCCATCTCACACACACACAGGTGTCCTCAGGCCATCTCTCACACACACACAGGTGTCCTCAGGCCATCTCACACACACAGGTGTCCTCAGGCCATCTCTCACACACACACAGGTGTCCTCAGGCCATCTCACACACACACACAGGTGTCCTCAGGCCATCTCACACACAGATGCCCTCAGGCCATCTCACACACACACAGGTGTCCTCAGGCCATCTCACACACACACAGGTGTCCTCAGGCCATCTCACACACAGATGCCCTCAGGCCATCTCACACACACAGGTGTCCTCAGGCCATCTCACACACACAGATGCCCTCAGGCCATCTCACACACACAGGTGTCCTCAGGCCATCTCACACACACACAGGTGTCCTCAGGCCATCTCACACACACACACAGGTGTCCTCAGGCCATCTCACACACACAGGTGTCCTCAGGCCATCTCACACACACAGGTGTCCTCAGGCCATCTCTCACACACACACAGGTGTCCTCAGGCCATCTCACACACACACACAGGTGTCCTCAGGCCATCTCACACACAGATGCCCTCAGGCCATCTCACACACACACAGGTGTCCTCAGGCCATCTCACACACACACAGGTGTCCTCAGGCCATCTCACATACAGATGCCCTCAGGCCATCTCACACACACACAGGTGTCCTCAGGCCATCTCACACACAGATGCCCTCAGGCCATCTCACACACACAGGTGTCCTCAGGAGGGCACAGACACACACAGGTGTCCTCAGGCCATCACACACACACAGGTACCTGCAGCTCATTGCAGTTTCTGAGGGCCGTGGAGACTTTGGAGTTAACACGGATGAACCCTAAAGGATCTGATTCCCAGGTCCTGGCACCCATTCTGTGGGTGGTGGGTTGTTCCCAAGGGCTGGAGACACCTGTCTGTGTCCATCCAGGACATGGATGTGGCAGCAGCTGTAGGGCAGTGTGGCTCTCCAGGCCTCCTGTTCTTCGCCATAGCCCAGAGTGAGCTAACATCAGGATCCGGGCGTTCAGATACATATGGCTGGACAGGGACATTGCTGCCCTCCCTTGGGTGGCCTCGGGACGCCGAAGGCCAGGCTGTCGGCACCGACACCTCAGGCTTCCTGCCTGAAGCTGCAGCTGAGAGAGCCTCGTAGTTCCGGAATGCCAGTGTGGGGGGCTGCCTCACGGCCCTCAAGGAGAGGACTGGTGCAGGGCTCATGTGTCCACCAGGGGGGGCACTCTCCCTTAAACAGGCACTTCCTGTCCATCCAACACACACACATACACAACACAGCATGCATAAATGCACACACGTGCAACACGCACACCTTGTGCACATGCGTGCACCTGCACACACACTGGGGCTGGCTGACCAGAACTGACTAGCTGTCACTCTTCAGTCCCCAGTCCTGAGTGGTTCCCACACTCCACCTGCGCCTCGCCTCCCACACAGTAACTGTCCCACACACTTGTGGACTCGCCATGAACTTTCCAGAAACAGTGGCTCGGTGTGCCCTGACAGAAATTGCACTTGTGTTTTCTCTACAGCTTCAGTGAGGACGTGCCTCTCCCAGCATGGCCCCCCAACCCCACGGGCCCACACCCAGGAAGCTGCAGGCTGGGGGGCACCTGTTCTGCGTGAGGCGCCTGGGCGAGCCCCTGTCCTCCACTGTCCTTCCCGGTAGCCAGCGTGCAGGGAAGGACTGGGCTCAGCACTCAGGAGAGCAGTCCCATATGAAAAGGGTCTGACAGGGCAGGGACCTCATAGAGGGAAGTGCATGTTCCCCAACACACACATATAACCACATACCCAACGCAACACACACTACACAAATAAACACATTATACAACCACACACACCCAGCACAACATACATACACACAAAGCCAACAGGCACACATAGGCTTTTAGCTCTAACTCATACACACTTAGTATGAACATTCAGGACACACAGGTACACACGTGACACACAGCACACACAAGACACACAGCACACACATGTACACTGGGACACACAGCACACACATGTACATGTGGGACACACACAAGCAGACACCCAGAACAATCAACGCACAAGACACGCAGACCTCTGACAGACACGCCCAACATGCTCCCCTATACAACACACACATGCACACAACACACATGGGCACACCTCTACACCCAACATACACACACATTCTTGCTTTTATGCACGGTGTGTGAGCAGGGAAACCCCATCTACACACATGGGGTCTGCCCACGTTCAGCTTGCAGCTCCCTGTCGGGGGGCTGACTGTGCCAACACTGGCTTTGAAGAGCAGGTGGACGATAGTTATGCTAAGGCCTGGCCCCTCTGCTCCTGGCACAGGTGGATGGCTCCACAAGTTTCCTACTGTGACTCGGGCTCAGCTCACAGCCAAGGAGGAAACCACAGCCCATGGGAACTTGGTTCCGCCGAATCCTGTGTCCAGTCTGGGACCAGCCATCCACTGGGGTGGCGAGGCTGTCTCAGGATGGATGGTGCTCTCAGCACTGACGGAGCCAGCAGCTCACAGCCTGTGGCTTCCACCTGCACCAGAGGCAGCTCGCCACCCCCGCAAGGAACAGTCAGAAGGCTGTGACCCACAGGAGGGACAGAGTGCCTCCTGGGCTCACACAGACCTGCCTGCTGGACGCCCAGCCCAGGCAGACAGGAGGACGTGGCAGGAGTCGGGAGGGTAGGATGGTGGGGCAGGTTGGACCCAGCAGGCCCCCAAACCCCTAGGGGCCTCTGTGTCCAAGCGGGTTCTACAGGAAACCTGACAATGGTGTTGGCCCGCCCGAGCCCTGACCACCCCGGATGCCCTGCCTGGGATCCCAGTGGGCACCCGCCTCAGCACCTCAGCCACAGCCAGAGCCACACCAACCTACCTGGGGATACCAGTGAGATAGGTCATGACATTGTGGAACTCCTGGTCCGGAATCTCGCTGAAGGCTGGGTAGTCGGGGAAAGTGATGACTGGGCTCCCGTCCTGGCCCCGCCCGCCTGCGGAGAGCCGGGCAGCTGTGAGTGTGAGGGCCACCATGGCAGCAGAGCCTCACCAGGACGCGGGGCATTGACCCACAGGAAGAAATGGCATGTAGGCGGACAGGCTGTGCGGCCCATGTCTCAGCCTCCCGAGGTGTCTCCCACAGCCCACTCTGGGAACAGGTCTGTCCCCGACACTCCGTGAGAACACACATGATGCCATCTCGTGGGTCGGTTCCCTGCCTCACCCCCCGCCCCAGGGTACCACAAGGCCCCTTCTTCCCTCAGTACCGCCCAGGCTGTGCGTAGGACCACAGGACACGGCTACAGGGATGCCCAGAAGCTCCTCAGATCTCCCCTGTCCTGCAACCTTGTGTTCGCCAGGGTGGGACAGAGAGGAGCAGCTGGCACCAGGGGAGGCGGGGAAGGGCAGGCCGCCTGGGGGCAGAAGGGTCAGGCGCAAGTGAATCTGCATGGTATGCCCGGTGGCCACGGTCATGAGAGCCACGCTGCAGGTGCTCCTCCAGCAGCCACGAGCGGGAGGATACCTCCCAGCCCGGGGTCCTGCCCGTGGGAGCAACCCTGGCTGGGAGGCCACCTCAGGCTGTGGGGGTGCCTCCCTGGGTGGGAGGGCATGGGGAACGGGGCACGGGGCCTGAAGACAGCCCACATGCCCCCCTCTTCCTTCTACTGATTTCATTGTTTCAGGCATGGGGCAGGACCCGAGCCCCCGGGAGCTGATGTTTGCAGGGGCTGTAAGGGTCCTGTTTCAAACTGGAGAAAACCCGCGTTGCCCTCACTGGTCGTGGAGGAGGCTGCTCACTTGTTCACTTATCAGAGACGAGCTGCTTGCAGATGTGTGCGGTAATTTCTGGGGTTTCTATTTTTTCCCTCAGTCAACACATCTATTTTTGCATCAGTACAGGCGGTTTTGATTATAACAGCTGTAGAACGGCTTGATGCTTGGTACTGTGATGCTTCTAGCTTTATTTTTTATTGTTGAAGATTGCTTTTAGCTATTTGCAGTCTTTGTGTTTCTGTAACAATTTAGGCATTGGCACCAGCTTTGTGGCAGTAGCTGGTTAACCTGCTGCCCGCAACGCTAGCTCCTCATAGGGGCAACAGTGAGAGCGCCAGCTGTGCCATCACTGGCCCAGCTCCACGCGTTCCTGGGAGACCCCGAGGGAGCTCCAGGGCCCTGCTGCAGCCTGGCCCAGCCCCACCATCGTAGCCATGTGGATGTGAGCCAGCAGCTGGAGGACCTCTTCTAATCTTGATCTCTCACTCTTTCTGTGCAACTCGGTTCTTCCAATAAATAAACCTGAGAAATTAATTTTAGGATTTTCTCCCCAAGATCTGTGGGGAATGTCCTTGGTATTCTGGTCAAGGACACATTAAATTTGTTAATTGTATAAGGAAACAAACCCACAAACACGGAGGTCATTCTCACTTACTTGGATCTTGTATTTCTCTCTTTAATGTTCTGTAATTCTAACCACAGAAATCTCTTACAAATTCAGTTAAACTTATCCCAAGGTTGAAACTGTGCTTGGATTCCGTGTCTTCCCCCTTCACTGAGCGCTCCGTGAGCGCAGCTGTGTCCGCGTGGGAGTCGGACTTCTGTTCCCTTCTTCTTCTGGCTTCTTGGCTCTGGCCAGGACGTCCATCACTCCTGAACAGTAGTGGTGAGTGGGCCCCTAACCCGTGCCTCAGTGGGCATGTCATGAGTGGGCCCCTTCGCCTGTGCCTCAGTGGACATGCCACAAGTGGGCCCCTTCGCCTGTGCCTCAGTGGCCATGCCATGAGAGGGCCCCATCGCCTGCCGCCTCAGTGGACATGCCGTGAGTGGGCCCCTTCGCCTGTGCCTCAGTGGACATGCCGCAAGTGGGCCCCTTCGCCTGTGCCTCAGTGGACATGCCGCTAGCCCCGCTTGGCGACAGTGCCGGCCGTGGGTTGTCAGACCGCCTGGATTCTGCTAAGATGTGTTGTTTCAGTACTCATGCTTCAAGGTGTCTTTCTTTTCTTTCTTCTTTCTTCTTTTTTTTATCAGAAAGGAGGAGAGAAAAAAAGGAAGATCTTCCATTCGATGGTTCACTCCCCAAGCGGCCGCAATGGCCGGAGCTGAGCCAATCCGAAGCCAGGAGCCTCTTCCAGGTCTCCCACACGGGTGCAGGGTCCCAAGGCGTTGGGCCGTCCTCCACTGCTTTCCCAGGCCACAAGCAGGAAGCTAGATGGGAAGAGGAGCTGCCGAGATTAGAACCGGTGCCCATATGGAATCCCGGAGTGTTCAAGGTGAGGACATTAGCTGCTATGCTATTGCGCTGGGCCCTCAAGGTTTCTTTTCTTATCATGAAGGGATAGTGCATTTTACAGAACACACTCCACATGTGTGGGGGATGAGCCTAGGGTCATTAGTGGACGCGCTGCGTCACCCTGCTGCCTGCACGGCAGGGACAAACACCACAGGGGCAGGCTGGACGCTCCCATGATGGGCTGCTGTTTGGGGAGGATTCTGCCCTGGACTCCCCATGGTCAATGTCAAGGACTTCTCTTTGGCTGGATCACGCTCTGCCTCAGATAGTGCTGGACCGCGGACTGAGTGCGGAAGGACTCCCACTCAGGAGAAACTGGTTTATCGTCTCCTTCAAGGTTTGGTGGACTTGGGCAGCAAGGAACACAAAGACCTTCCATTTGCTGGCTCACTCCCCACGTGGCTGACTGGAAGCCAGGAGCCAGGAGCTTCTCCCATGTCTCCCACATGGGTGCAGGGTCCCAACACCCCATCTGATTCTTCCTTTAACCCTCTGTTCATTCATGACCAAGTGCTTCTAAATTTTCTAGGAGTGATTTGATGGTCATTTCCAGCTTCATTTCACAGTAGTCAGAAAAGCTATATAATAATAATTTCAAGGTTTTGTTTTTAATGATTTGTTGATATTTGTCTTATGCCTGGCAGACCCATAAGACATACGCAGGAGAAGACACACCCTAAAGAAAGTTGCAAGCACTGCTGAGACGCGTGTGCCAGGGCATCCAGAGGGGAAGGAGCAGGTCCGTGTGGCCGCAGTACAGTCGGCTCTGCCCTTCCCCACTTGTCGGTCAGACACCAGTGTTGCAGCCGCCGCTATCCGTGCACTGCTCGGGTCTCCTCTAGGCAGCCACACTCCTCTTATCGATGTATTCCTGGTGTCTCCTCTAGGCCAGCACACTTGCTTCTCAGAACAGGGTGCCCTAGCACGGGCACATCCACTCTTCTGACTGTCACATCTTGTTGAACTGACTCCTTCATCATTACACAACGACCTTCTTTGCCTCTTGTAACTGCCTCGGCACAAAGACCATCGTTCTGATGTAAGAACGGCTACCACTAAGGTGTCTGCTTCCCATTTGCGTGGAGTATCTAGCCAGGGCTTATGCTCAGTGCTCACTGGATTTCTGCAGGCAGCATGAGGAAGGGACTGACCCTTCCACTCCACAAGCCTCTATCTTCTGGTTCCCGATTACTGCTGGGAAGTGGTGACTTTCCCGCCGATGGTCCTGCTGGCCATTCTGCACCTTGCCCGCTCTGTCCCTGCGAGGTGCTTGGCCGTCACATTCCTCCATCAAGTGGAAGGTGTCTGTTTCTGCGTGTAGCACATCCGTAAGGGATATTTGCAAGGCTGCCGTTCCACTTTCGCTCATCTTGAAAGGTTTTTACTTCCGTTCAGGTGTGGGAGCTTCATTGGGTGATGTGTTCTGAACGGCCAGCTTTTCCTTTGAGCTCTTGGATGCTGTCACACTTCCTGACCTGGCCCGTGTCTCTCCATCTTCTGGGGGATCCCTCAAGGGCATCCTGGCGTTTCTCCCCTGCACACTCTATGGTGTTCCCTCTGAAAGCTTGACACCACGTGTCACGGTGAAAACTGTTCCTGTTCACGCTCATTGAGGGTCACGTGCTTCCTGTATCTGGATTCTATATCTTTCTGATATTTTTTCGCCGAGTAAGCTTTCTAAGCCAATCCTTTCGTCCACACCTTCAGGGGCTCCAGACGCGTGTTCCTGGTCGCCTGATGGCGTCCCACGGTCCTAGACCTTGTCCTGCTCTTCCCAATCTCTCCATCCTCCCCGTTCCCTAAGATAAACCAGAAGACCTATTTGTCTGAACTTATTGGATACTTGATGTCTAACATTTCTGTCTGATTTTTCTTCAGTGTCTCAAAGTGCAGAATTCCTCATCAAAGAGCAAGTATGCATTTCCTGGCCTCACTTGACGTTCTCTGTATTCTTGACCGATCTTACAATTATTCTTTGATCTTTTTTAGGCATTTTGTCAATCTCCTCTTCACCGACCAATAATTACTGCATCCTTGCGCTCCTCTGGGGAGCCACACTGCCTACTGCCTTCCTTACTCAAGGTACCTGTGTTTCTAAGTTGGTATTTACACACACCTGATATCTCTTCTGGAACTTTCTTTGGGGGGGCTTGATTTTATTCTTGGAAATGTGCCTCTCTGTGTTGGCGAAATGCCTGACACTTGAGCTGATGCTCCAGAGGTGTCCTGGGGAGGTCGGAGTCTGAGCAGTCGCAGCAGCTTTGGCTACAGTGAGTCGGGGAGATGTTGCAGTTGGTGTGTCCACAGTAGCAGCCCTTCCCTGTGACAAAGTGAACCCACAGGATCCGTGCACTTCATCCACCCAGGCACACGCACGACATGGAACGGACACACGGTGTCCCCTCCGCCAGGTCTGTCCCCAGCACACCGGGGACTCGGCGTGTCTGCAGTAGGACCACATGAGTGCACAGCACCCCACAACATCCGTCCCTCTTGTTCCCAGGGCCTATGGCCAGAACTCTCACAGCCACAGGGTCGCAGGCCTGGGGGCACAGGGGCTCCACCCTCACCCTGGAAACTGCTCCGTCTCTCATGAGTTGCCCAGCATTCTCCGAGTCAGGACAGAGCTTGGCTCCACATCCGGAAACCAAGACTGATGTTTGGGAGGGTGGGGTCCCTAGGTGGTCTCCCTTCAGAGCGCAGTCATTTGCCAGGCTGGCTCCCTAGGCCGACTCCCACCCAGCAAGCATCTCGGGTTCTCCCTCCGTTGAGGTCTCCAGAGGCACAGGCTGCAGCAGCCTCCTCCCACAATGCCTGGCCAAGACGCTGCTTCCCAGCTGGGGCCAGCCATGGCTCCGCAGGGGTCACCGGGGCATGCGGCAGCCGTGCTGTTCTGAGGTTCACCAGTTGCTCAGCCACACACTGTCCTGTCCCCGCTGTAGCAAGTGAGCCCTCGGACACCTCAGAGTGGACCTGGGTGCCCTGGAAGAAGGACACAGCCACTTCAGGGAAGCCCCACACACTCAGGACTTGGGTCACTCAGCCCCACAGTGAGGGTGAGCCCACATGTACGTGGCAGAAGTGAACTTGGCTAGGAAGGTTCCTGTGGCAGGATACGCGCCAGGCACTGGCTCAGCAGCAGGCACACCTGCCACTCGAAAGGCCTGCAGGAGGCAGCCTACAGGGTGGGCCTTGCCATTCCTCCCAGCCCAGGTTCTCACATGCAGGCCCGTCCTGCACATGAGGGCCCTTCCCCACCGCCTGAGACAGTCTGCACACATCTCCACGCTGGGAGGGGAGGGCCACTGAAGCTTCTCTCAAAAGACACAGGAAGTAGGGCTGAGGAGCCACCTCAGGAGTGGTGTGAATCAGAGTCCTCTAGGACCAGCTGCTGGATACAGAGAGCTCCTGGAAGCCACAGCTCCAGTCTTCTGGAAACTTCTTGGATTAACCTTAAGATGCTTCAGTCATCTGCTAACACGGGGCCTGATTTGAGAAGCTGTGTACAGTTCCATTTGCTGATGAAAGGGGCTGCCACTCCCCTCATGGCCTGAGCAGAAGCTACAGGGTGCAGGGAAGGTGGCGTCCCGGGACTGAGCGTGCAGTCTGCCAGGCACCATGTTACCGACGAAGGCAGGGAGCAAATTTCTGACTCACCTAAAGGTGTTTCATGAGGTGACCTGAAGCCCAGTGGGGTGGTTGGGATTCAGTCACATCACAACGGGGCTGAGCCAAAGGCGCCAGTGTAGGACCAGCCCCAGCAGGGCAGCTGTCCTGAGGGGGCTACGCGAGTGGGGGGACCCCACAGGATTTCTCTTGAACAGCCTGGACATAAGGTGCTCCCAAGAATGTGGATGGAGACCCAGTGGGCAGAGAGCAGCATGGGTTCAGGCACGCAAGTTCTCCCACTTCCCCGGGTGTTATCAGCTCACAGCCTCCCGGGCCTGGCTGCCCTAGGTGTGGAGTCCGGCTCCTGGCCTTGACCTGGCTGGCCGCACAGCACAGCAGGAGGCCTGTCCGTGGTCAGGGAGATTGGGTCGCTCACCGAACCTCCCGGGGGTCCCACTGGTCAGCGCAGGCCCGCCACGGACGCTTGTTCACTTGGGGCTTTCGTCTGGACAGGTGCTGGCTGGGTGAGAACTGAGGAAGGGTGCACGCTGGGCAGGCTGGGAGCCTGGGGTGGGGGCCGGGCCAAGGTCAGGTCTGGGAAGAGGATGGGGGCAGTGGAGGAGCTGGCAGAGCACAGAAAGCCAGCACTGACCACAAGTGAGTCACAGTACTGGCCACTTCTCTCTGTAGCTGGAGATGCCCAGGGTGGCCTTTATTGCCCCACTTGCGTCGTGATGACCCCCCACACCCAGAGTCCCCCACAGGTTCCTGGCAACCTGCCTCTGCCCACCTGTTTCTGATGGCCGCCCGCCAGTACCAAGCTGCGTGATTCATGGGGACCTCACAGCCACCTCATCGCAGTGACTACCAGAGCCAGCTGGGGGCAGCTCACAGTGCCCAGGCGCAGCCCGGCTGGGGGACTCACCTGACAGGTAAGCAAAGCGCTTCTTCAGCTGCTCGTGGATGTCGGCGGCGCACAGGGGCACCACGTCCTGGTGCATGATTTCATCTGAGGAAGAGCAGACGGCACTGTCACTCAGAGGTGGCTCCGCCCACGCCCTGCCTGTGCCCCGCCCTCCCACAACCCCCAGGGACGGGTCACTGCCAACACAAGGTACACAAGGCTGTGTGTTGAGTGATTTGCCGTCAGTTTGAAAGTGTGGACATAAGGTTTATAGAGGACAGAGAACTAGAGACAATTGTGTTGGCCTGGGGGTGCCCTGGGGTGGGCAGGGATCTGACTCACAAGTTAAACAGACACCCTGGTCTCTGTTCACACCCACTCCTTGGAGGTGGTCCAGGCAGCACCGGGCCCTCACCTGCTGCCTACAGAAGGACCTGTTGGCCAACAGGGAACCCACCCTGTGCCAGGCCCGAAACCCACAGCAGGGAGCCTGGTCTATGCCCACCTCAGGCCCACGCGCATCTGCTCAGCATGGTTAAGTCGGCAGTCACAGGTGGAGCCCAGGCCTCAGTGACTCTGATGAGCCCAAAGGCTAGACAGGGGTCTGGGCGACACAGGGAGCGTCTCCCGTTGCAGTGAGAGCAGGGCGGGGGAGGGGGGCTTGGCAGGAGGGAGTGGCCAGATGGTGCTGGGCCTTGGGGCCCCACCTGCTCTCATCTGCGTGGTGGGGGGTGGGTCAGTGTTGGGCATTCTGAGTAGTTCAGGCCTGTGCCAGGGCCCGCCAGCAGCAGCTGCAGCTCCAGACATCATGCTTTCCCCAAAGGGCCATCCCTGCGCTCTGTCACCAAGCCCCTCAACACCGCCTTCTCACAGCTCGGAGACCCAGACCACAGACACCTGGGTCTGACACAAGACTCCCGCTAGGTCCAGCCCTGCCGTTACACCCCGGCTCCGTCTCACATCCTGCCTGTCTGGTCCTGCACAGCAGTGCAGGTAAACATGGCAGCTCTTCAAACACCTGCGCGCCACAGCTGCCAGCGCCTTTGGGACAGGGAGCCGCCACGGGCAATGGCTCTTGAAGGGCTGGGGCGGAGGCAAACACGGATGCTCGCTGATGCGCCACCTGACGTCATGGCAACGGCTCCCATGGCAACGATTCCCATTGGCAGGTGTGAAGCTCACACCCTGGGAGAGGCTGCGGCCGCCTTGTCTAGGTCCCAAGAACAGCTGTTCTGAGGTGCTAGCCCCGCCCCTCCCAGGACTCGTGGATGGCAGCGCCCACGCTGGAAGACCACGTGTGTGTGAGACCGACATGGACAATCCCACAGACTCTATCCTGACCGTGGTGAACAGTGGTTTTCTGCAGGAAAGTGGCCTTTGCCCTGGACACACGTCTATAGCCCTGGACAGCTAGAGCCTGGCTGCCTGGGGCCAGAGGCCCTTGCTTGGGACAGGGGCAGGCTGGCTTTGCCCACGGTCCCTCCTCTGACCCTGGTGCCTGCTCCTCAGCCCCTCGGTTACCCATACACCTCCCCACCCCTGATGTGGCTGTCCCTGGCTCATGGCTTCAGGGACCATGACGTAGACCAGGGAGGGATGTCCAGGTTTCCCTCACTCCAACACGAGGCTAGATTCCTCTGCAACCTACAGGTGGCATGCAGCCAAAGCAGTGCCCAGTGCCCAGCCCTGTTGTGGGTGTCCCTGGCGCAAGGCTGCAGGAACCATAGCCTAGGCCCACTGCCCATCCCCATGCTTGCAGGGACCCTGAGCCAGCACTGATTCTAAATGCTGAGCCTCCAAGTGACCTATTCAGATGGGTTCACACCACATCACAGATGTCTTGGGTCATCACGGGCTATGCTCATGACCAAGAGTGGCTGGGGGCTCTTTCAGCCAGTTGACCAGGAATCCACACGGCCCTTTACAGACACCTGGGGCCTGGGGTACCCTCCTCTTCCTCCCCAGTTTCCTCAATCTGTCCCTCCCCCAATTCAGCAAACTTGTTGGACTGGAGACTGAGAAAAGCTCAGAGCAGTGGCACTACTGAGATGCAGAGGTCTCCGAAAGTGACCTGTCAGTCGCCTGGGACAGGAAGCGAGCTGACCTCAAGTCTCCAAGGTCACCCAAATACAGCCTGGTGCCCGCAGATCCTCCATCAAGGGCCAGATGTGCACAAGGCAAAGAGAAGGAGGCTCTTGTGTGGAAGGGGCCGGGGTGGGGTGGGGGGCATGCTTGACTCTAAGGTCATAGCACCGCCCACCTGGACGCTGCTTCATTCCAGAACCCTGGCCATGCCTCAGGGCAGGCGGGTGCGGTCCCTGTGGTCTTTCCGTTCAGACTAAAGTCCCTTCCTTTGCTAACTGGCTGGGAGCCTTGCTTTAATTTAGAACAATTTCATCCCAGAAGTCAGTAAGGATGTCCGGGGCAGCACCTTGTATGCTCCCAGCCACCAGTGGGGCTGGCTGACTTCTACCTGACTCCCAGCAACCGAGAGAAGGTGCCAGAAGTAAGGTAGGGCACCCACGCCTGTTCCTGGCAGATGAGAGGGAACCTGGAACTTTCTGCAAAGCAGGCGCTGCTGGTGACCCGAACGGCCCCACCCCTCAGGGACAGTGGAAAACAAGGTCCTCCACCAAGGCCCTTCAACAAGGCTGTCCACGTAGGTCCTCTACCAAGGCCCTCCACCAAGGCCATCCTCCTAGGCCCTCCACCAAAGCTCCGCACCAAGGCCCTCCACCAAGGCTCTCTACCAAGGCCCTCCACCAAGGCCCTCCACCAAGGCCCTCCACCAAGGCCGTCCTCCTAGGCCCTCCACCAAGGCCGTCCTCCTAGGCTGTCCACCAAGGCTGCCCTCCACCAAGGCCCTCCACCAAAGCTCCGCACCAAGGCTGTCCACCAAGGCCCTCTACCAAGGCTCTCTACCAAGGCCCTCCACCAAGGCCGTCCTCCTAGGCCTTCCACCAAGGCCGTCCTCCTAGGCTGTCCACCAAGGCCCTCCACCAAGGCCCTCTACCAAGGCCCTCCACCAAGGCCCTCCACCAAGGCCATCCTCCTAGGCCCTCCACCAAGGCCGTCCTCCTAGGCTGTCCACCAAGGCCCTCCACCAAGGCCCTCCACCAAAGCTCCGCACCAAGGCTGTCCACCAAGGCCCTCTACCAAGGCTCTCTACCAAGGCCCTCCACCAAGGCCGTCCTCCTAGGCCTTCCACCAAGGCCGTCCTCCTAGGCTGTCCACCAAGGCCCTCCACCAAGGCTCCCCACCAAGGCCGTCCACCAAGGCCCTCCTCCAAGGCCTTCCACCAAGGCCCTCCTCCAAGGCCATCTACCAAGGCTTTCCACCAAGGCCCTCCACCAAGGCCCTCCTCCAAGGCTCTCCACCAAGGCCCTCCACCAAGGCCCTCCACCAAGGCCCTCCTCCAAGGCCATCTACCAAGGCTCTCCACCAAGGCCGTCCACCAAGGCCATCCACCAAGGCCCTCCATGAAGGATATGGGCCACGGCAGGCTGTTTAGTGGTTATCTCCACCTGGTATGGAGCCAAGCGACCAAAGAGCTTCATTTCTCCAGGTCCGGCTGGGTGGACCGGGCGCCATCACAGGCGCTGTGGAGAAGGAAGTGGGAAGAGGGAGTCCACCGGGTGGGGAGCGGAGGCCTGGGCATCTCCAGGCCTCAGGAGGGGCTTAGAGGGAGAGGCAGGGTGCCCGGCTCATCCTCTGCTTGCCCCACCCCCCCCCGAATGCAATCTCAGGTATTTTTAGCGCTGCTTGTGGAGGGATCAGGCTGGGACAAAGGCCCCACATGGGCTGACTCCCCCAAACCAGCCAGCAGAAGGAGGCAGGTCCAGCCAAGGAGTAGTCACTTCTGAGCTGCCTAGACTGTGAGACCAGGGCAGGTCGGTGGATATGAGGACAGTCCCAGGGGAGCCATAATGCAGGCTGGGGAGCGTCCCTAGACACCTGGCACCCCATGCTGGACAGTTGGCAAGTCTTCCAGTGTACCTGATATTTTCTCTCCCTCAACTTCATGCTGGACACACAGCTGACTGGGACACTGCTGCCAAAGCTGGGAGCTGAACTCAGGTCCTTCTATGTGTGGGACACCCCAGCTGCCCCTTTTGGAGGCCCCAGCATTCCTGCCTGCCCCAAGGCACTGGCTGCCCCAGGGCAATGGGGCTGACTTCCTGGGCCCTGGGTGCTGGCATGGTGCACAGCTGCTGGGGCAGTCTGGGGCCAGTGGGCCTGGCTGGCATCACACATGGCCAGGGGGAGCAGTGGCCAGCCTTGCCATGCCTGCAGATAATCGCTTCTCCCCTGGCATGCCAGTGTTTGCCATCAGCCGTTGACATTCCAAGGTCCAGGGGGTCACGTGCTACAGGGGGCAGGGGTGGCTTGTGGGGGACACTTGGATGGGCAGGGCACAGCAAACACTTCCAAGGAGCCCTACTGCACACCGGTGATGGGCGACGGTCTCGGCCAGGTAGGCGGCCTCCTGGAGACAACGGACCAGAGCCCTGAAATGAGGGCTGTGGCCTGCCCCCTCCACGCCACTCAGCACTCACAGTCAACCAGGCCACCTGGCCTCACCCTGCCGAGCAGGGACCTTGCCGAACTGTCATGTGAGCCGGCTGCCAGGCCTGCATCCCACGGCAGCCCTGCTCCACTGTGTAACCGGGGCAGCTGGCCTGCCCTTCCTGGGCCTCCTCCCCACCCCACAGAGCCACGGATGCTGCTTGTCAACAGGACAAGGCGGGCTATGCCCACAGAGCCCACCTCCTAGTCGGAACAGCAGGGTCAATGTGTGCATTCCATCACTGGACAGAAGACACTTCTACTGTTGGGTGCAGACGAGGCATTCCCACCCAGAGGCCCCCAAGCATGGTCTGCCTCCCCTGGGCCAAGCTTGTCCTTCAGGAGAAAGCCCAGCAGCAAAGCCAGGCCCGGGAGGGAAGCCAAGGTGGGTCCCAAGGTCAGGGATTACCAGGGAAGGACCAGGTCTCCAGACCAAAGTCAGACCCTCTGCCAAGTCATGCCCATGGGTGGATCTCCCCCGATGCCCCTCATCACTCCACAGTGTGTCTGGTTTTTCCCCACAGGGCATGGGGTCTCCCG